AAACTTCTAGTATTTTAATTTTAATATAAATTTAAAATGCTCCAATACAAAAAGGGAAATGACATAAGAAGAAAATTATACTGACACAAGAGATCACGTAGCTTCAGATCAAAATTATTGTAGGACTCACGATCCTTATTTTCTTTCTTCTTCTTATTTCACCTCATGATAAGCTTTAACTGAAATTACAAAATGATCTTGTATTGTTAATGCCTTGGTATGTCACATCTTTACATTATACTTATTTCTATAAAATTCAGACTATGAAGAATTTGGACTTGGGATAGAAAATGTGAGATGGTGAATGCATATGATGTGTCTGTTTGTACATAGTATTTTGGGATAAGCGTCTGAAAAATACCCCAACTTTGGTCGGATTTGCTGTTGCGATACTAAACTTTTCACGAGGACCTATTACCTCCCTAGACTATTTAATACCGTATTTTAAACATATATATTTGTCCACGTGGACATAAAAAATAATGCAAAATTATAAATAGTAATGTGTCCACGTGGGCACATATATACCTTTAAAATACACTATTAAATTGTTCAGGGGGTAAAAAATACGATATTAAATAGTCGAGAGAAATAATAAGTCCTCGTGAAAGTTTAGTATCGCAACAGCAAATTCGACCAAAGTTGAGGTATTTTTCAGACCCTTATCCCTAGTATTTTCAAAATTTAAGAAAAGAGTCATTTCTCTTTTTTATGAAGCTATAACTAAGAATTTTTGAAGATTTCGATATTGGCATGTGTAATTGAAGAACAAAAAAGTGTCTAATGATGTAACGGAAGAAAAAAAAAGAGATTGTTAATAATTTCGCGACTTAACTTTTCTTTTCAATACCTTAAATGTATTAAAAAGAAATTAAATAGAAGAAAATGCCACTTAACTTTTATAGGGCCCTTTTGTAATCGAACTTTCAATTATAAGGTTATCGTATTACACGTGCAATACAATAATGTTTGACAGACGTCCCCTCAGAATTTGGCTCGTCGTTTATTATCTGGCATAACCATTTAAGATGAGAAACAACAACATCTTTCTTCTTACCCCATTCACGAATCCTTATATGAAATTCAGCCGCAACAATTAATAAATAAACACCTTGAATTGATGTCAAAATGAACGCTTAATATATATATATATATATAGAAAGAGAGAGAAAGAGAGAGAGAGGTGGAGCTACATACAAATTTAGCATCATATATAATTGCTTATTTCTAAGGTATAGAATGAATAATGTCAAATACTCGGTGCAGATAAAGTTATGCCTTTCAATATTATGAATTACCAAATATAAGGAAAGAATATTAATCATAAAATACCATACATAAAAAAATAAACTATCACAATTATATTGATGTAGAATAAACACAAACTTACTTTCTTGAAGCTTGTTATAAGATTATAGGAACTCATTCTCATGTTCGAATTCAATTATACATCCTTGACTAAATTTTTATTGCTGCAACAAAAAAATATCCAAAAAATTTAACAATCAAATATTTTGTTTAAATAACTATCAAAGAAAAATCAACTACAAAAAAAATAATATAATATTTTCTAATACAATTGAGAATCTAATAATTAGAAAATTAAAAAACACATGAACCATAGAAAATGTTGATAGGTCTGGAATATATATAGTAAGAGGATGCATATTTTTTTGACTTATGAAATTCTTCTTTAATAGACAAATAAATAAAGAAAAGATCAATTGAATAGATAAGATGAATATGAACATTTCAAATTTTATTTTTCCAACCTTTGAGATTCTCATCAAACGTAATTAATTGGTTAATATGTGGTCACTTCCCATTTAATTGATTATTGTCATTTATTAGATGGTAAATTTATTATTTGGTACAAAAATATCATAGAATCAGTATTTAAATTAGGGGTAGTAACGTTGATTAATTTTAATGTAGATTTTTGTACTTATTTTATTTTAAACTTATGTTTTCCTACTTTTAAATAACTTACAATTCAAAAAATAATTAAAATAATATTATTTAATTAGTTAGATGTTTAATTTAATCTAGGGGTAAAATGGTAATTCAACTTTCATCTTTGGAGCTTCCCACTTATAATAATATTAGATTCACTGCACGTGCGTTGCACGTGTAGGTTAAGTCCTGAGATCCCTATACACGATATATTTTATATTTTATGTATATTTTAGGCTTTCAACATATCAATATGCATTTAATATTGCACTACGTCATACTAAGTAAATGGCCAATCTATTTGCCTTCTTGCTTGTTCGTCATGTGGTGACGAACGTCGTATTCTTAAATTGTTATTAGGCAATTTGTTAGTAAGTAATTGTGCACGAATTAACTGGTTGCCCTCTTAGTTATGTCGTGTCATGAACTGTATGCTCCCTTTCAATATTTGAAATTCAATGTACCCTGTATTTGAATAACTTTATATACGCAAAAGTAATATCTTCTGTCGTAGATGTCTGTTGTTTTTCATATCGTCTCCTCTTCCACCAAAACTAAGAATTCTTCCAATATAATTTTCATTAGCTACATGTGTGGTGTATGTTTTTTCCTGTTTGATTTCTTACAATTTTGGTATTAATCAAATCTCACCTAATACTTTCTTGTAGACAGTATTTTCTTGTGTTTATCCCGATGTATCAATCTGGTTGTTAAGTCATGACCTGCACTTTTTTTGTTGACATAGATATTCCTCTAGATAGTGCAACATATAGTTTGCCATGTGAGAAAGCATGTTGTGGTAGGTATACTCCTACATTTGATATCGTTTGACTTTTAGCTTTATTTATCATCATTGCAAAAACATAGACATATTGGAAATTGTTTCCGAATAAATTTGAAAGGGTATTGTTGTTTTTTCTGCATGTATGACATTCTCGTCAAAGCCTCTACAAAACAACCATGCCCCATTGCATAAGCCAATTGAAGGGTCCAGTTTTCTCAGCAGCATGATGGGCGCATTTTCTTTCAAAACTAACCTAATGTATAAAATTAAAAGAATCATCAATTGTTATGTATATGTAATCCTGTAATTGTTTTCTTCTCTTTTATGCTATGAAGTATCACAATAAGATAACTGTAAAAGTTAGGATGTATTAAACAACGTACCTATGCGGCGGAGTCCATTGGTTGTTAAGGTGTTTAGGTATAAATACAGTTCATATCTTTACTGAGGTCGATTCTATGTAGTCTTGCATGCTGCAGCCTAGTAAATATTTAGCCTCTTCAAAATAGTATTTGGTAGTTAAATTTCAGTCGTCATGTGGGATGGAGCTTGATGACTACCATTGGGAGATGAGAGTGACAATGTTAATTCTATGCGTTATTGTGTATTAGTACCATTGATGAGGGCGGCAAATGGTCGAAATCGACATAATTAGGCAGGAATTTATTGCATAAAAGAGGGTGTCATTAAGATGTAAAGTGCATCTAAAGTAAGGTTAGAAGTAACATATATATGTAAAGTATGTGTCTAAAATTGGCAGGAGACTGTATGTGAGCAGGTTAACCAATAATAGGTTGTATAAGTAATGCTTCACTGTGAAGAAACAAAGTTAATTAGTGGTGTAAAGTATGTGTTTACAATTGCCAGGGGACTGTAAGCAAGCAGGTGAACTAATAAATATATAATTGCATTAATAAAAATACTTATCTCATAAAATTAGCTATCAAATAAATTATACAAATTAAACTAATACAAACTTCAACTGGCATTATTACAAGTCATATGAACTTTTCTTCATCTAAAATACTGAAATATTAAGAAATAATAAATAAGTAGAACAAAACGGCAATGTTTATATAGTAATAAATTCATTCTTTTGTCTTGAGCATCAAAAACAAATCGTGACAATTCTCTAAATTTTGAAAAAAGATATTTAGAAGCATATATCTACTTCACAAGAGAAATTGTTAACAAAAACAAATGAATTTAGACTACATTATGTTAACTTCATTTATTGGAACATTACATACTAATGTATATATTAAGCAAAAAAATAATTATTATATCATAAAATTATATTATTTTCCTCAAGTACTCGAGGTAATGGAATATACCCTCTTAGGATAGAACGACTTACTTCATCAGAATAGTGGTACCTCATATTATGCTAAATTTCGAACTCACTCAACGACAATAAATCATACCAAAAAAATTAAAATGCAAGAAGAAGAAGAAGAGTAGAAGATTAAAAAAAATGTGGTTGAAAAATGAGAGGAAGTCCATCTATTTATATTCAACAAAGGGTAGTATGAACAAAAAAAATTTGTGTCTTATCTAAAAAATCATGACCTTTCCGAGAAGTCACAACACTTTGGAAAATTAACAACTTTTTGAAAAAGTCACAACTCTTTGGAAAAGTTACAACTTATTGAAAAATTCACAATTCTTTGGAAAAGTCACAACTTATTGAAAAACTCACAACTCTTTGGAAAAGTCACAACTCATCGAAAAATCATAACCCTTCGAAAAAAGTCACAACTTATTGGAAAAGTCACAAGTATTCGAAAAAGTCACAACCTAAGTTAGGGATATTATAGTAATTTAACATTCAAGTTAGGAGTTCATGTTTTTAAGGTAATATAGATATGATTAGAGGTTAAACATGAAGTGATAATATGATACAAACGAATTTCAGCTTTTCCTCAATTTATTTAGTGAAAGGCTTAACCATAGTTCTACATTGAATAAGCTATAGTGCTGATAGATAAAATTTGGAGAAATTCCCAATGGATAATGATAAGAGATATCAGTATTGTAAGCTCAACAAATCAGAGGGTAGAGTTCAATCCACACATAGGAGGACAATATTAATTGGATGGGTCCCTTTAGTAAACATCTTGGAAATTGATGGATTGGAGATTGGCAAGATTGCATTAATTGCTACACATGGTATCTAGATACCCAATGAGATCATAGATATAGATATCATTAGATAATTTGGACTTTTTCCCTCTTAACTACTCCCTATATATGGTGAATTAATTCCCTAGTAACTTCATCTCATCACAACCAACTTCAACAATAATTCAAACCCTCAAACACTTTACTTTTCTCTTCAGATATAACCATGGCAGCTGCAACAATGGCTCTTTCTTCCCCTTCTTTTGCCGGACAGGCAGTGAAGCTTTCACCATCTGCCTCAGAAATTACTGGAAATGGAAGAATCACTATGAGAAAGGCTGTCGCCAAGTCTGCCTCGTCTAGCAGCCCATGGTATGGACCAGACCGTGTTAAGTACTTAGGCCCATTCTCTGGTGAGTCCCCAAGCTACTTGACCGGTGAATTCCCTGGTGACTACGGGTGGGATACTGCTGGACTTTCAGCAGACCCTGAAACCTTTGCCAAGAACCGTGAACTCGAGGTGATCCACTGCAGATGGGCTATGCTTGGTGCTCTCGGATGTGTCTTTCCTGAGCTCTTGGCCCGTAACGGTGTCAATTTTGGTGAAGCTGTGTGGTTCAAGGCTGGATCACAAATCTTCAGCGAGGGTGGACTTGACTACTTGGGCAACCCAAGTTTGGTCCATGCACAAAGTATCTTGGCCATCTGGGCTTGTCAAGTTGTGTTGATGGGAGCCGTTGAAGGTTACCGCATTGCTGGTGGGCCTCTTGGTGAGGTTGTCGACCCACTCTACCCCGGTGGCAGTTTTGACCCATTAGGTCTTGCTGATGATCCAGAGGCATTTGTTGAGCTCAAAGTTAAGGAGATTAAGAACGGCAGACTTGCTATGTTCTCTATGTTTGGATTCTTTGTTCAGGCCATTGTTACCGGAAAAGGTCCATTGGAGAACCTCGCTGACCACCTTGCAGATCCAGTCAACAACAATGCCTGGGCCTACGCCACAAACTTTGTTCCCGGAAAATGAATATCAGCAAACATTCCATAAATTTCATTGTTTGATATATAGCCTTTTAAAGTTGTAATTATGAGTTTTCTTGACAACAGAATGGATTTTCTAATATCCCAATTATTGTGTAGTCCTGAATTTAATTTTCCAATGCTATAAATGAAATACTGCCAGTTTCATATCAAAGGGGAAAAAAAGTAGGCAGTCCAAAAACAAAACACAAGATACATTAGGGATGTGGTAAAAGCTTAAAAGTTGAATACTGACTAGAGGAACTTATAATACTCTAACTTAGTGCCAACAATAACTTACACGATTACTTATTTTTCTCTCTGGGAATTGAGATGAATTAAGAGGACATAATATTATTTCACTACTACACCATTGACATTTCAATGATGACGGAAAACCAATGTGTATGTTCTGTAATCTAAATGTAACAAGTAAAAGCATCTGCGTGGCTGCTTATATTATAGAGGCAGGTATCCTCCAAACATGGCATATAGTAACGACCAGAGCCAAATATAAGGACATAGTAAGCAGAACTAAGTTATATATAACACTTCTTTGAAAGGAAATTAAGTTCTATGCATTGACATTGTAAAAATACTAATACTCATATCACTTATTAGCAGGGGTAGCTAGCCTTCATCATACCGGTTTTCTAGAAGCAATTAAGTAGCTTTGGTCCAAACCATATATATGTCTATTTACTGGTACTTAATCCCATGAACCAATGTTTATGTTGTTGTTTGTTGTTACTAGTACTTAAGGTCGTCATCCTAGATTCTAGAGCGCATAATGTTCAAATCTGTAGGTCCAAGTCTCAGCATTGCTTGCCATGTAGTAGTTCAAATTCACGTACTAAACCGTCGTTGAACCTCTAAAAATTAAATTAACATTGCAACATATATAGAACCTTCAATGACTATATATACCTCTTCATGACCATAAGATTGTAAAAAAGTCCATGCATCGACCTTAGTTAAGAAAACATTTTTTGAAAAGAAGTATGACATTCTACATTGCCTGAATTTGTAAAATCCAAAACCAGTATTTCACTTTTATTGGAACTCAAATAACTACGATATTGACTCTTGTGCTTATGCTTCATACTAGTTTTGAGCACGTGCGTTGCACGTGTATTCGATGCTAATAGTTTAAACTTCTTAAAACATTAGAAATAACACCAAAACTGAAAGTGAAGGATACATGCTCAATTGATGAATAGTTAAATCGATATTCACTATCATCACAAAGTACATCACACCAAAAGTTAATATCAAATGAAGTTGAAATGATCCCCTTAGTTTTAAGAAAGAAAGAAAGTTCCTTCAGCATTGTATTCTATTACTTTGATAACTACTACTATAGTTAGCAGTTGTATACAGTCAACAAATTGTATAACGTTTTCTTGTATAGTGCTTTTACTCTACCAAATATTCGGCCTAAATGATATTTCAACGACAAATAGTGTGGATATGAGCAACACCACTAATGGTTACAAATACTTCAGGCCTATCAAGTAGCTATTGTCAGATGAAAGTAGTGTTTGTTGAAGTGTATCAACTTAAGAGCTAAAATAACTACAAAGGTTTGTTTCTAACTAGATGTACCCAAACCCAAACAACTATATCAAGTTAGTTAACAAGAAATTAGCACATATCCAAAACACACAAGCAAGTTAAAACAAATAAATGCTAAATAGTAATAAGTAAAAGCGACCCTCCAAATGAATTTTGCTTGCTATTTGCATAGTCTAGGATATCGACTTCATGTGCGGGTATGATGATGTTGAGTCCATGAGACTCTAAATTTGCGAGAGTCCTTAATCGGGACTCCATTTTTTGCTCCAAAAGTTCATGCAAGTAGAAAGAGGGTAAAAAGATTAGTAAGACTATTCAACTTTAAACAATATACTAAATAAGAATAGATAGAGCTAAGTAAGGTTACACTTCAAATACATTATTTTTAACACGTAAATAAGCATGAGAGCCAAACAATATGATCACTTTTGTAATTAGTGACTTTCGAACACAACATCAAAGCAACTATATATTTTAAACATCATTTAAGCACTATATAAAATCAAACAAGATTTATTTTTTTACAGATGCCACTGCTTACAATTTTTGAAGAAAACACGTAACATAATCTAAGAGGAATTCAAAAAATCATATTTATGAATATAGAATATAGAGGGTTGCAAATATTAAGGAATAATAATGACTTACAGTTTATTTTTTTTAAACTAAAATAAAGTAAAATTATATCCCTTAAGCAATGTTTCTGCATATAATCCAATGAGCTGAATTTTCTTAACACACCAAAAGATAATTAATTTAAAAAAAAAAGATTTCGTGCAGCTGACTCATCCCAATCACTTTTAAAGGTTAAGCTAACTAGACGTGAAAGGAGAGCATCAGTTTTCTAATAACTAACTAAGAGAAATTGATTGATATACGACATTCTTAAAATAGAAGAGCACATTATAAATTATGTAGATAGAAACAGAGAAAACATGGGAGGCGAGTATAACCTGTTGCGGGGCAGTGAACGAGGTGCTTCAATCGAAGGTAATCTCAAACCACGACTAACTCGAGCAAACTTACAACCAGAGATTTGGCTGAGATCGCAACAGAATACAAAAGGTAATTTTGAGAGCAAAAGACAATAGTTCAAGACGCTATCGGGGCAGAAGAGCTTCTTTTCATAAGAATGAATATCAAGGCTATTATCAAGATCCAAAAAGTCCCCCTAAAACGAGTGGAATATGTTGGTATTTATAGCCATGAACTAGGGTTCTTGGCTCAAGTTTGGGCGGGATTTGAAGAAGTAAAAGTGCCGTTTTGAATTCAAAATTGTGCATGTGATTCTTCATCAGAGATGTCAAAAGTATTTTGGCTTTTTGTTGACTAAATTAAAGAAGAAAGAGTGAATCAGGAAGGGGAAGAGGGCGCTGGCTTTTTGCAGAAGAGAGAGGTGAAACACTTGCACGAAAATGGAGACACTAAGCTCTGCATAATGTTAAAGATCTCTGAAATTTTCTCAAAGAGGAAGAACGATGCTGCTCTTTTGGACCAGGCGCAGCTGCATGTACGAATTAGAATTAGGGCTCACGTTTGGGCTGAATATTTGAGTGGATTTTGGGCTGTGCTTCTTTTAGTTTTAAATCGGTAGTAATTACAATGGCAGCATTGTCTTTTCATATGATGATAATATCGGGGAAATGATCAAAATGGTCCTTAATGTATGGACTTTGATTCCATTTGGTCCTTAATATATGAACTTCATGGAAATGGTCCTTTATGTATCATAAATTGTGATCAATTTGGTCCTTAACCCTAAAATTAATATATTTTATTTTTTTTGCCATCAAAATACACGGAATATGTAAAAGATGCGCTCGTTCAAGACTTTCCTTCCCCTGTTTCCAAAAATTCCAAAAGGGCACATACAATTTTTTTTTTCTCTTTTCTTTAAAATCGCTGCTGTGATTTTATTTTTTTTAACAACGCTGTCAAGCAGCGTTTAAAAATTAGAAATAGCTGCTATAGTAGCCATTTTCTTAAAAAAGTTAAAATTTTATTTTATTAAAAATTCCCGAGGCGAGGACTGCTTAAAAAATAATGGGAAATCGCTCCACGTGTAGCGATTTTAGTT